AAGTTTGCTTAAACTGAACACGCACACGTAACTTGCACTGGAAAAACAAATTAAAATTGTTATTTTCATCTTTGTTAGAAAATGCCGCGCCTTTCAAATGTAGAACGTCTACGTGCTATAGGTAGGCTCTATGCTGGTCAGTTTGTGGTCACTGTTGCAAGAGCCTTTAATTGTTCACGCCAGACAATAATTAATCTTAGAATGAGAGTGCTTCAAACTGGAACTATTGCCGACCGGCCAAGGGCGGGAGCGCCACGTGTGACGTCACTCCAGGAAGATCAAGCAATACGATTACGTCATCTTAGAAACAGATTTGTCACTGCAACCTCCACAAGTAGAGAGATGTTTGGTGGAAGGGTAACTGCTGCTGGTCTTCGAGCTCGGAGGCCCTAAAATGGACCAATATTGACACCTCTTCATCGCCGTAACCGACTTGTGTAGGCCACAAGACACATAAGATTTACTCAAAGACAGTGGAATTCGGTTGTCTTTAGTGACGAATCTCGATTCACTTTGAGATTTGCCGATGGCAGGGTTCGAGTGTACCGCAGACGAGGTGAACGTTACGCTCAAGTATGCGTCAGAGAATTTGACCGATTTGGTGGCGGCAGCGTCATGGTTTGGGGTTCTTTTTGTGCACATGGACGTTCTCCTCTTGTTGTCCAAGGCAACTTAAATGCTGTCCAGTACAGGGATCAGATTTTGCAACCTGTTCTTCTTCCGTTTATGCAGAGACATGGGCCTGGACTAACGTTTCAACAAGACAATACTCGACCCCATACAGCAATTGCTACCCAGAATTTTTTAAGAAATGCCGGTGTCCAAGTCCTGGATTGGCCGTCGCTTAGCCCCGACCTTACTCCTATTGAACACATCTGGGACGAACTGGGTCGACGTGTTCGTCAGCAAGTGAATCCACCACTGACGTTGCAGGACCTTCAACATGCTCTTGCTGAGCAGTGGCGACGTCTTCCTCGGGTAGTGTTTACTAATGTTCTGAGATCCATGAGAAGACGTGTGGCAGTACGAGACGCTAGAGGAGGCCACAACCGTTACTAAACACTTTATTCCGTTTGTTCTCCAAGTCTGTGAATTTTATTTTGGGGGGTACTGTGACATCACGAACGTTGTCAATGTCAAGGACTTTCGGCGAGACGTATTCTTGCTTTCTGTTGTCAAGGTCGTCTGTGCACAACATAACACTAAAATAGTTGCCTTAAACCAAATATTAAAAATCTAGTCCCAAAAATCCCGAGTGGCAAGTTTTTAATTTGGCTGAGTATATATATTGCCTCATATAGCTAAGTCACAAAGAGGTATTAGTGATTTGCTAAGGCAAGCAATGAAAGAAGTAAGAAACGGCAATTATGGTATCAGAGACCAAGTCAAGGTAATTGGCAATAAGTTTCTGAATAATGTAGAAGTTAGTGCCCAGGAAGCTGCATATATCATACTGCAACTTCCTATGAGAAAAACATCGAGGGAAGTTTATTAACACGTCTCCTCCGTGTGAAAGGGTATATCTGTTGAAATCGCAAGATCAACTGGATGGCCTTGATGACGAAGATGAAAATATCCAATCTAGTAATTATCTAGACAGGTATAAGAATCGTTCAAAGCAGTTAGAAAATGTAAGACTAGCTGATTTTGTTGCTTGGTATGATAGAAAAAATACCTATAAAAACGATCCAAGCAAGTGGAAAACGACCAGACATTTGTTGAAGACCAAATAGAGCACAGCTCTGATTGGGACGATGATGACTTGAGAGAGAAATCTTCTCAAGCGAAGAAAATAATACTACGATAAAGAAAAGGGCATTAGGTATGTCAATTTTAATGTTGACAAGGAGCCCGAGAAACATTACAGAGAACTCCTCATGTTGTATTCCAACTGGAGGGATGAAGAAGTTGATTTATTGGGAGGATCTGATTCCTTCCAAAGCAAATATGAACATATGAAGGATCAAATAGTTGAGCAAATTAAGCAATATGATGCAAATAGGGATGCTGTAAATGCAGCTATTCTTGCTGAAGGCCAGAATTTGGAAGATGCCTGGGATCAACAGGCACCTGTTACCCAGCAAGTTGAAAAAGAAGATGAAATAGAAGAAAAGTTAGATATAAAGAAAGATTCTGAATGTGGTAATCCTACCAAATACGAGTATGATATTGGTATGGATCTGGAACTTCCCACTGAAAGCAATGTTGAACAGGTGGCATTGTATGAAATGCCCGATGAAAATTATAGATCTCTGATGAGGTCATTGAATCAGAAACAGCTGTATTTTGTATATGATACCTTGAATGAAATAAAATTCTCACGTAACCAGGTTTTCAGATTCTTGAGTGGAGGAGCTGGTGTAGGAAAAAGCGGCAATACTATATACCGGAAAACACAGGAAAACACCAGAAAACACCATTTTATACTGAATACCGGAAAACACCGGAAAAACACTAAATAGGTAACCCGGAGCCTGGTCCTCTGTGTGCAGTTTTGGACCAAGTGAGCGCCGATGAAGGAAGGTCAAGGTCATGTTCGTTTTACAAATAGCCCCCCCCCCCCCCCAAAAAAAATAAAAAAAAAATCCGATTTTTTTTTTCTCCCAAATTTTTTTGACGAAAAAAAATTTCTGTCCCCCCCAAAAAATATAATTTTTCCGAAAAATTGGTTTTATAAAAAAAACATTCTGTAGGAAATAATTTTACAGACAAAAATACTGGAAACAAAATTTGAATTTTTTGAGAAAGAAATTTGGGAGAAGAAATTCTTAAAAAAAATCTGAAAAGAAATTTTTATTTGACCGTAGGCGATCGCTCGCTTGTATGTTAATGAACTTATTTCATCAGCGCTCACCTGGTCCAAAACCACACACGAGGACCAAACTCCGCATTACTAAATACCTACCGGAAAACTGTGCCCGAGATTTTTTTAGAGAGCGTGCACCGCTGCGGGAGGGGTCATCGTCAGGGTGGGAAGGGGGTTGGAATTGTCCAGTCACGTGACGAACATAGATCTTCCATTCCTCAACCCATATTATTTCCACAGTCATTGTCATTAATCACAAATTACGGGATGATATACGAAAATGCAGGTTTACTTTGAAATTGTGCAAATGATACTTTTCCATCTACAATCTTCAGATCAAAGGATGAAAGTTCTTACACAGTGTAGCATAATTTGTGCAACAGAAGACATCTCGAATATCGATTGTCGGAAAAAACATTTTCTCGGGGACATTTTTTTCCGATTACGCATTCGGTGTAAGTCTTCAGCCACCAGGAAGTGGTTAATATAGTAATGTTTTATTACGATAGTAGTACATAAAACAAATTGGTTGCCTGAGGTTCTCGGGGGGAAAGTAGCCTCATCGGCTAGAGTCCTCTATTTCACAAACAAAAACAACAATTGCTTCCTTGACAATTTATGGATCAACCCTTTTCACAGACGTCCAGCTTACCACTTCCCGTCAATGCAGTAAGATAGAATATGTAGTTTCCTTATGGACAATTGGGCGAAAGTTGGGGTTTTCTCAAGGAAAACTGGTCAACGAGTTGGGGAATAAAGCTCGAAAAGTAATCCAGAAAAAAAATCCTGTGTGCGGCCCTCGGATTATGATGGAATATGTTGAATATTATTATGGTTCAAGTGATTATATTTGACCCTGGAATGAAAGTAAGCTCAGAAACAAGTAGATTTTTAGCCCTTCCAACGAGATGGATAGCTCTTGGAAAGGATAGACACTTTTCAGATTACAGCCTGTCCGAGAATTGCGTGGCATCCATTTCGTTTGGTGATTAGGACACATAGCGGTTAAACCTGGAACTTCAACTCGAACTATTCAGAGATTTATTAACTCGCTTTTGATGATACTTGCAGTTTTATGATGCGATTTTTTGTTACCTAGGGAGGAGTTGGCCTAATCGTGCCTTCCACTAATTCGTACCACCCTGATGCCAGCGTTACTGGTAAGAATCAGGAGACTGGCGCAACCGGCATATAACGGGGCCCTCAGAGGGCTGTGTTTAATCTACTGAAACACTGAAATCTACTAAAATTTACTGAAAACTAAAATTAAAATACAAAATAAAATATGGTCAATGATGGAGGTAGACTGATTGCGTCTTTTAAAACATTCAAAACATAATAGGCATCAACAAAATTTTAGAGAAAAAAAAATTGGAATTTTTTTTTTTTTTTGGGGGGGGGGGCTATTTGTAAAACGAACATCGTAATGACCTTGACCTTCCTTCATCGGCGCTCACTTGGTCCAAAACCGCACACAGAGGACCAGGCTCCGGGTTACCTATTTAGGGTGTTTTCCGGTATTTAGGATGTTTTCCGGTATTTAGTGTTTTTCCGGTATTCAGTATAAAATGGTGTTTTCCGGTATATAATATGGCCCGGAAAAAGCAGGTGATGATTTTGAAACTATTAAGCAAATATTGTTGGCTCCGACTGGCAAGGCCGCTAACAACATCATGGGTAGTACTCTCCACAGCGCGCTTAAGATCCCCGTGTGCCAGTCATTGCAATATAAAAGCTTAGATAGTAGCAGATTAAATACGTTAAGAAGTAGCCTTGGGGGTTTGAAAGTTGTTTTTATTGATGAGATATCCATGGTAGTAAGTGGTATGATGAATATTCTCAATAAAAGATTTCAAGATATCAAAGGCAGTCCACTGTTATTCGGTGGATGTCATGTTATCTGTGTAGAAGATCTGTTTCAGTTGAAACCGGTATTTGATAGCTATATATTTGAAAATCTTGATAGTGCCTATGGGCCAACAGCGAGTAATATATGGAAAGATAATTTTTGTATGTATGAACTTACAGAAATTATGAGGCAAAAGATAGCAAAGCCTTTGCTGAGCTATTGAATAGATTAAGAGAAGGTAATTATATATCTGAAGAAGAAAAATGTATTGATATCAACATTCTTAAATCAAGATTGTTGAAAGTTAATGAAGAGAGTGAGTATCCCTTTGACATCCCTCTTTAAGTAATGAAAAGATGAAAAACTTTAATGACAAAGTTTTTGATAACATGGTGGGTGAAAAAATTGTAATTTTAGCATAAGATAGCATAGTTGGGTCTGCTTCACAAGTTGTGGGCAAAGCTATACTTGAGAAAGTAATGAAAAGATGAAAAACTTTAATGACAAAGTTTTTGATAACATGGTGGGTGAAAAAATTGTAATTTTAGCAAAAGATAGCATAGTTGGGTCTGCTTCACAAGTTGTGGGCAAAGCTATACTTGAGAAAGTTCCGGAAGATCCGAGAAAAACCATGCAATTACATTCCACTTTAGAATTGTTAATTGGCTTAAAATGTGAAATAGCTTTAAATGCTAGATTGGATGATGGGTTGACAAACGGGGCGTCTTGCGTGGTAAAAAAAAAATCCAGACAGGCGCTTCTAGGTTAGCAAGTAGCACCATAGTCTGGGTCCAGTTTGAAAATCCAGATGTTGGGAAGTTAACTAGAAAAGATTATAAAAGTCATTTCAGTGCAGAAGTTGATGCCTTGTGGACACCTATTCTGGCTGTTTCACGACAGTTTAGAGTTGGGTAATACAAGAATGCAGAAGTAATGAGAATGCAGATACCTTTGAGACCAGCTGCTGCTAAAACTGTTCACCGATCACAAGGGGATACTTTAGAAAGCGTGGTCATTGATTTCGAAGGTAGGAAAACTCGACATATTCATTTTGTTGGATTAAGCAGGGTGAAAACTATTGAAGGTTTACACATCATAAACCTGAACGAAAACAAAATATCAGTCAGTAATGATGTGAAAGTAGAAATGAATGAATTGCGTACAACACGTAAAGTCATATGCAGAACACGGGATTTGAGTTCTGTGAGCTCAGATAAAATAATTGTGGTTTATCATAACGTTAGATCACTGCAGACATATTTTGAAGATGTAAAAGCGAGTCTGTGTAAAATTAATGCTACTGTCGTCATACTGGCAGAGACAAGAGTAATAGCAAGTGTAAATTCAGATATGTATAACATACCTGGTTATACCTTGTATAGAAATGATGCTGTGACAGAAATATTGAAAAATCATCATGGCATGGCTGTATATGTCAATGATAAAATGAAACTGAAAAATATTGTTGTTGAACCATTCAATATGAATGGTGTTGAGATGAACGTTATAACGTTAGATATTGAAATTGAAAATATAAAGAATTTTTGCAAGATACTTGGGCTATGTAAACCGCCTAAAGTGTCAGAGGGTCAGTTCTGTTCAGCTCTTATAGATGTGAGCAAAACGTCAAATGAAACTGATTTCACCATAGTTCTTGGTGACTTCAATATGAAATTTGAAAAATGTAAGACTTCGAGTGTCAACGAAGTGTTGAAGGGCATGAGCCAGTTGATTGATGAACCTACCACTGATTCAGATACAGTGATAGATTTGATATACTCTGATCTACCGAAAGATCACATAAGGTCTGGTATTCAGGAGAACTACTTTTCGGACCACAAAGTGATCTATTTGATGATCAGTAAAGAAAAATTAAGTAATGATGAGGATAAAGCTTACAGCAACATTAATGCTGCCAATACTGTTGGAAATGAAAATATGTGGAAATTCCACACTGTTAAGGAAAATAAAAAGGCTTTTTTATTTGGGGAAAATATTCCCGCAGGAAGAATTTCTAAAGAAATGAAAAAAAACTGATATTCAAAATGAAATGCAGGTCGATAATATAATAGTCAGAAAGTATGGCTATCAGATAAGCAGAAGAGATCTAGCTACCCTTGCTCCAAGACAGTGGCTTAATGATCAAGTAATAAATGTGTATATGAAATACCTACAAGAAAGAGAAAGAAATGAAGGCAATCAAATATTGGCTGAAGAAATTTTCTGTTACACCAGAATAGAAGGGATTTTAAGAAATGCAGTAGAATTCTACCAACGTAGAAATTTTCTACAATATGATATACTAGTTCCAGTGTACACTGCAAGTCACTGGAGCTTATTGGTAGTATATGTGAGATCAAAGACAATAAAGTACTTTGATTCGCTTGGAAGTTATAGTAGAGGTGCTGTATGTTTGAACACATTGCTCAGTTTTATTAATGAGATTGAGACAGTACGATCAAACACATGGAAAACGATAATGGAAAGAAACATAACTATACAAGATAATAGTTATGACTGTGTTGTTTATGTATGTATGTTTACAGATTATATTCTTCAGGGTTTATCTTTGAAGAACAGAAAGAGAAATGCTGCTGGTTATCGTCAGCACATGAAGGAAATAATAATGATGTGAAGTAGTGTGGCAACAACTATGCTCTTGCTCATTGCAAATACATATGCTGATGTCTTAGTGTGTAATAGTGTGTAAAAGTTATGTTTAGGAAAAAGCTGCTGGTTACCGCAAGCACATGAAGGAAATAATGGAGTGGCAAGAACTATGTTGTTGCCCATGCAAGTAGTAAAGGCTAATACTCAGGTATTACTGGCCGTGAAAGTGTAAGATTGGCGGGAGTCGGGGAGCCTGCCTGTATAAATATTTATTTATTTATATGAAAAGTATGTTTAGGAAAAAGCTGCTGGTTACCGCCAGTAGATGAAGGAAATAATGGAGTGGCAAGAACTATGTTGTTGCCGATGCAAGTAGTAAAGGCTAATACTCATGTATTACTGGCCGTGAAAGTGTAAGATTGGCGGGTGCAGGGGAGTCGGGGAGCCTGCCTATATAATTATTTATTTATATGAAAAGTATGCTTAATTCTTTAAGGTTTATCTCAATCTGATTTAAATACAGATATCTCTTTCGTTTCATTTTTATACGCCCACATTTTCATGTGGACGTATATTGTCGTTGCCCCTGTCCGTCCAGGCGTCCGTATGTCTGGACGTCCGGACGTCCGTCCGTCCGTCCACAATTTGTTTGTGGACACTCTACAGGTCACAATTCTTATCCGATTTTGACGAAACTTGAAATATATTTTTATCGCCAAAAGATCTTGGCTGCTTTCGATATTGGCATGAATCAGATCGACACTTCATGGATTATGGCCCCTGTTTGCACGAAAAATCACGTTTTTAGCTTGTGGACCCTATAGAGGTCACAATTTTTATCCGATTTTGTTGAAACTTGAAATGTTAGTTTATAACCCAAAGATCTCGGTCCCATTCGATATTTGCGGATATCGGACTGTAACTTCCTGAATTATGGCCCCTGATTGTACCAAAAATCGCGTTTTTAGCTTGTGGACCCTATAGAAGTCATAATTTTTATCCGATTTAAAAAGCCGTATTATTATATCACCGTTACACCCTAAGGACCGCTGAGTTCGAATTTCGTGTAAATCGGCCCAAAATTGACAGACAAAATGGCTGCAATTCGTTCTCAAATAGCATAAAAAAATATGGTATATTAAGGTTGTGGACCCTATAGAGGTCACAATTTTTATCCGATTTTGTTGAAACTTGAAATGTAAGTTTATAACACAAAGATCTTGGTCCCTTTCGATATTTGCGCATATAGAATTGTAATTTCCTGAATTATGGCCCTTGATTGTAGGAAAAATCACTTTCTTTTTAGCTCTTTCTCTATCCATCTCTCGAAAATGTGGGCGTATCCTGCCTTGCAGCCGTTGGTTTTATTCTTTTAATGGACTCCCACATATAAAGTTCTAATCGGTTGTAGTGGATTTTGTCCCTATGACATCAGACATTTTATAAGCAAACCAGCATTGATTTTCCTAGTGTGATAACCACAGTTCCGTACACCACACGGACCGTTTCATTGGATTATCACTTACATCAATCAGAACGCGGATTATACAAATCCTACTGTAGTAAAGATAAGTAAAGCGAAATAGGACTTCTGTTTTTATCAGATTAGGTTTGTCTTTGAAGAATGGAAAGAAGTAATTAAGCTGCTGGTTATCTCTATCCTCGGTATCTCCAATGTTATTGTAAATCCACCTCCTAAAAGGAGCTTGTACGTTAATTATAAGAAGGGATGCAACAAATTTAATGAGAAAGAAGTGATATGCACACGCAGCAATGTCTTTAAAAATACTTTTACAAAGTTTGTTACCTTGATTCGTCAATGTTAGTTGCAATAAAATGCTTGTTACTTCCCTTCTCCCACTTTCAAAATTTTTGGTTGGTTTATAAACAAAGCACAATTATCAAGGGATGATGATTTGATCAATTGCCTACCCCGCAAATTTACCTAGAGGTAAATTGAAAACGGAACGATACCGCTGGAAATACCGAGGATTGCTTATCTCCAGCACATGAAGGCAATACAGTTCAAAATGGTCATACTAAAGCTTATGACATTGTACATAAAGCAAAAAATATTGGCGCCTAATACAAATGTATTATTGGCCAGTGTAGTAGAAAAATGCAGATTGAACATGGATGGTTGGTCAAATGGTATAGAAATCGTATGGAGTAACAGCTGAAATTTTACTAATTGATAAGAAGATAAGAATTTAAAGATTGATTTGAAAATATTGTTTACTAATATAGTCCTTCAATGTTTGCTTTTGAAGAACAGAAAAAATATGGTAATTATTGCCAGCACATGAAGGAAATGATAATTATGTGAAATACTGTACAATTAAGTTGTTGAGCATTACAAATACATATGGTGTAGATCCTCCATTGGCCATAAAAAATGAAATTGGGGTTAACGTCCTACTGTTCTGCTCCAACTGGGTTAATTAAGACGGGCATACTGTAATACTTTTAGTTGAATTTTTGCTCGAGAAATAACATATTCGCATAATATGTGATATGTACTTAAAATACTTAAATCAACTTAGGGTTTGAATGACATATTGTGATATAAAAACACTTGTAGAGCCATAACATAACTGGTTCTATGTCAACAACATGTTAACAGATATCTCATGAGAATATTCTTCAGTAAAATTCCATTCCACCATATAAGGGTTGGTTGTCGACGTCATTGGGCTCAATTAACCAATCTCTATAATTATTTACATCATATTTGACCAATTGGATAATTGAATGTCCAAAACCAGTAGATACAAAATTAGGATACTGGTGAGAATTCGCCAGACTTCTATTAGGTTCCAGAGAGCTTCCATCTGAGTTCCTAGACAGCCGCGAGGCTGGCTAGGGTAGAGAAATGGTTTTAGCTAGTATTGTTATCTATTATGCTTGTATACCTGTATTCAGCTATATATATATAAAATGTAGAAGCAAACTGTCGCATTGTTATTCCTGGTAAGACAACGTCTTAAGAAACTGTAAGAAGTAAATACACAACGTGAAGCAGAAGTAAAGACAGCTAGAGACAAATTCTAGACGATCACAAGGCTACAGAAATATGTAGTAAGAAAAGATGCATGGGTCGTATGTAGGATGTGGCGACCGGTTTCCGACATATGCCCGCTCTCCACGTCAGACAGAAGACCTATGGTGCTACATATTCGATTTGGTGCCGTAACGCAGTTTCGACCTTTAGGGTAAGCAGCAAATTTGGAAGAAGAATAAATATTCGATATGGTGCACGTGACTACGAAATCGAGTAACCTGGAAGAAGATTAGAAGAAAAGAGAGTATGCATAGCACTGCATAGTCTTGCATATTCAATTTGGTGGCGTAACGAAGTTTCGACCTTTGGGGTAAGAAGTCACTTTAGAAGAAGAATACATATTTGAAGACGTTAAGAAGAAAACATGTACAATCCAGCAACAGAAAAAGTCTGGTGGAAAAAATCTGGTGGAGATATTCGAAAAATTGGGTAAATACATTTTGTTTAGTAAATTAAATGTGTTAAATTTGTTTACAGACCAAATAATATTAATTTAAAGTTAAAATCTGATTAGAAACTAAGTATTTAAAATTTAACTGTATAGAGAATAAATTAGAGTCATTCATAAGTTTAGATTGATAGGTTTATTAAACAATATAATATCACTGGTTAGGTGTGTATATTATCGGGTTAACATGACCTGTAGTAAAATTAAAGTTAAAGAGAAAGTTTAGGGAGTAGGTTTTAAAAAAAAATGTTTTGATATAACTAAGGAATAATAATGATAAGGAAACGGAATAGGGAATAAAATAAGGAACTAATGTTGTCTCCGTGTCGCAGTGGAAAGACGGCAGAGCTAAGGATGAAGTTTGTGAGTGATTAACTCTAGTTTCCAAGATGGCCGTACTTTCTACTGTGATTCGTTAATTTGTGTTTTTTGTTGTTTCGTATACTATATAATTTTAAGACCCTTAGTCGAGGCCTTGGAGTTGTTGTAATTTAACTTTTGATTAAAAAGTTAGGTTATGTTGAAAATCCCATATGGTTCATCTAGGGATGTTGGTTATAGTTTTCCTGGGAAAAAACTAAAATTATTGGCTCGTTGAATTGTGAGATTATCGCAAAGTCATTAATACGAGTTTAATAGGAGGTTAAGGTAAGAATACGACACTTTTTTTTAGAAAAGTGGCAGAATACGGTAAATTTTGTCCGTATATAATTTTATGTAATTAAATTTTAGCTTTAGAAACGTAATATTAACGTTTAATATATACTGCTAATTGCTTTAAGCTGTTGACACGTACGCAATGATTGGGAATGTGTAATTTGACATGAGGTCGAATTATAATAAACAATAGTATTCATACTGTGTTAAATTTGACGTGTGTAAAAGTCACGGATTGCATTAATATAATATACTATTCAAAAAAAGTAGGGGATATTTGATTTTGGGGGCATAATACTAAAATATGCAAATGACTACGAAAAAAGTCACTATAGAACCTAACAGAAGAAACATTTCCAGTTACATGTGACGCCCAAAGCACCAATAGCTAC